CTTTTCTGCAAACAACATCTTGATTAAACGTATGTCTCAATACAAACATTTAATATAGGTACACACAGGGCTACAACAGTAAGCTGACATGCCTTCATACAGGGCTACTACAGTAGACTGACATGCCTTCATATAGGGCTTATACAGTAGGCTGACATGCCTTCATACAGGGCTGCTACAGTAGGCTGACATGCCTTCATACAGGACTACTGCCGTAGAATGACATGCCTTCATACAGGGCTACTACAGTAGGCTGACATGCCTTCATACAGGGCTACAACGGTAGACTGACATGCCTTCACACAGGTCCACTACAGTAGACTGACATGCCTTCATACAGGGCTACTACAGTAGGCTGACATGCCTTCATACAGGGCTACTACAGTAGGCTGACATGCCTTCATACATGGCTACTACAGTAGACTGACATGCCTTCATACAGGGATACTACAGTAGACTGACATGCCTTCATACAGGGCTACTACAGTAGGCTGACTTGCCTTCATACAGGGCTACCACAGTAGGCTGACATGTCTTCATACAGGGCTACTACAGTAGACTGACATGCCTTCATACAGGGCTACTACAGTAGGCTGACTTGCCTTCATACAGGGCTACCACAGTAGACTGACATGTCTTCATACAGGGCTACTACAGTAGAGTGGCATGCCTTCTTACAGGGCTACTACAGTAGGCTGACATGCCTTCATACAGGGCTACCACAGTAGGCTGACATGCCTTCATACATGGCTACTACAGTAGACTGACATGCCTTAATACATGGCTACTACAGTAGGCTGACATGCCTTCATACAGGGCTACTACAGTAGGCTGACATGCCTTCATACATGGCTACTACAGTAGACTGACATGCCTTCATACAGGGATACTACAGTAGACTGACATGCCTTCATACAGGGCTACTACAGTAGGCTGACTTGCCTTCATACAGGGCTACCACAGTAGGCTGACATGTCTTCATACAGGGCTACTACAGTAGACTGACATGCCTTCATACAGGGCTACTACAGTAGGCTGACTTGCCTTCATACAGGGCTACCACAGTAGACTGACATGTCTTCATACAGGGCTACTACAGTAGAGTGGCATGCCTTCTTACAGGGCTACTACAGTAGGCTGACATGCCTTCATACAGGGCTACCACAGTAGGCTGACATGCCTTCATACATGGCTACTACAGTAGACTGACATGCCTTCATACAGGGCTACAACGGTAGGCTGACATGCCTTCATACAGGGCTGCTACAGTAGACTGACATGCCTTCATACAGGGCTACTACAGAAGACTGACATGCCTTCATACAGGGCTGCTACCAGTAGGCTGACATGCCTTCATACAGGGCTACTACCAGTAGGCTGACATGTCTTCATACAGGGATACTACAGTAGACTGACATGCCTTCATACAGGGCTACTACAGTAGACTGACATGCCTTCATACAGGGCTACAACAATAGGCTGATATCATAAAGGTTAGTTGTTGATTATATATAAAGCAAAACACTCTCGTATTTATAATGTAATATTTTAAAATGAACATCAAACTAGCTTCACTTGGCATAAAAATATCTCAATGTACGTGGCGGTGCAACCACAGAAGGTATGTATTAAGAGCTGGAGGGCTACAAGACGACACCATGCAGTGTTATGCAAGTTGCTGTGCAATGCAATTAAATACATACATAGTCTATGTATCATATATTGCCATATACTAATGATAAAGAGCTACATCACACGTGTGTGACTTCCTGTCGAGCTCTCCATGACGTCACCTGATTCGGCGACCTTGCACCTGTTTCACTCACCAGACGCGCATGTGTGTGACTTACATCACTGTCTGTGTGTCATATCCACACATACACAGACCCGGAACTGGTGATCACATCTATCACTTTCATGTCTTTGTCCCATGTGTGTTTCCTCTCATCACTTCGTTTCCTTTGATCAATTTAAATTTAGATTTAATTTAGCGAGATTTGTGTAGACTTTATCATTATGAAACTACCATTGTTGTTATCACAATGTGACAAATAAATAACACGGAATTTGTACATTGAACTTTATTTTAGACAATGAAACAAATGATTGCATTGATAAATTCCACGTAAAGTACAGCGTTGTTTTTACTTCCTCTAGATCGGCAGTATGTGATAAGCCTTGTATTTCCATACATAATTGCCTAAAGTCTATAGAATAACGTTATAACGTCTCTGAGGATATATATCTATATCTAAATTGAAACAAGCAACTACATTTAAACTAGAAAGAAACACATGTTAGATGGAGTTTCAGAAACAATGGAAAATCTAGACTTGCTTTATTTAGGGCTGTATCATTACCCAGAGAGCTGAGCGGAAGGGAAGCCCTTAGCTATTAACATATACTTTCTGTATATATCCAGTGGAGCAAGTTTGATGTTCATTTTAAAAAATTAATGACGAGAGCATTATGTTTTTAATCATCAACAACTAACCCTGTATGAAATCAAAAGTAAACATACTATGAATGTGGGACTGAGACAGGCTACATAAAGCCCAGTTTGCTATGTGTATACAGAAGAGAAGAGAGAATAGCCACAACAGGCCTATACGAGACACATACATACTTATAATTAAAAGACAAATATATTAGAACATTAAACATAAATAATCATTGGTTCATGCCATGTTATATATGCAGAATATTTACATATCAACTAATTTTAAGAAATGAAATGTTTATTAAAGAAATGAATAATTTACATACATAGTGATATTTATTAGTTATTAAATCTGAATAATTAATAAAATGGGGGTAGCTCGTTTAACATTACATTAAATAAAACGACTTGTTGGGTGGCTGCATTTATATACAAAAGGATCCAACTTTAAATCAGAATAAAAAGGGGTATCAGGAAGTAAATATATGTTACAGTCAATGTGTAAAATCGGTCAATTGATAAAATGACTCAGACAATTTACACATTGGCTGTAACACACACAACCAATTCCGAGGAATATTCATTAACCCCAATGAGAAATGTCTGCGTTGGTCCACGACATCCAAGCTTATCCTACCATTGCACCTCGTCTATATCCATTTCAACGTGTGTAATGACTTTAATTAACACCATGGAACGTAAAACACATGTCGCCATTACAGATAAACGATGGGCTCTATATCAACGTTGAAAACATCACGCACCAAGATATAGTCATGCATTCCTTTATAGGTTCAAAGGTATCAATAGATGTTAATACATGTGTAAACAGTGTATAAACTGGCCGTGAATGTGTGCACACATCGATGCGTCATCTATGTTATCTATATCTACTGTGTGGTATATAGTTATCAAAATACAGCGACATGTCATGATGAATAAGACAATGTTATACCCACAATGCATCATATATGGATTTTAAAAAATACATAAATTTTGTGCCCTACAATCAGATCCGACACGTATTCTTCACACAGGGACCCACAAATGACAACAAGCGTTTTGTTATGTATTACGAATTTGTTTAGAAGCTCATAATTCTTGTCTTAATCAATTGACGTGACACTGCTTGGTGTTCTGTTGACTAAGAATTCATCCCGTATGGAATTATATATGCTTTGTACAAAGATCTTTGTGTTTTTATATTATGTGTTAAACAAATTCAAATTCTGCCTTGATTTATTTTGTGTTTTCTCAGAGGCCATGTGTGTGTGTGTGTGTGTGTGTGTGTGTGTGTGTGTGTGTGTGTGTGTGTGTGTGCGTATCTATATGTAATAGATCATGTATATGTTGGTGTACACTAGGATTGCATGCCACGAACTCATAAATTTTAAATTAATTTTAATTTTATATCACATTACGTTTCTTGCTTAAAACCGGTAGTGTATATGATCTTTCTTATATACAGGCTCCTTCTTTGAATAAACAAAATGCCACCGTGGCCATAAAACAATAAAGCAATAAACCGTCACCATTTGCAGCACCTTAGTAATGTGGGGATAAATTAATTACTCTAATTACCCCCTAAAGCTATTTATCGTAAGTTCGCTACCCCCATCCACCCTCGTCAACTGAAGCGCCAGGGGTCAGATTACAGGCAGACAATACCATTTACATATGATTCAAAAAAAAAAAAAAATTTTAAAAACCTCTTTACCTAACTTGTCGGAACCAAAATCATTGTCACAAAAAAATGTAAGAACATGTCTGCTGAATTTCTAGTCTGTATTGTCTGTATGGTATGCAAAAGGCAAGTGAGTATCTCGTAATTCAAAGCTGAGTTGACACATGGTTAATTAACAATTAATGCTCAAATGAGAATTCTCTCGCGATGTGATTGCGAAAAGTAATTTGGATTTGTCCACAGTCTTGGCACCCAGCTAGTGTATGAGGCGTTCAGACTTGTCAGCACTCCTGTGTTATTTGCAGACAAAATCGATAGTTGTGCTGGAAAATGCTTTAGTTATGCTTGGCAGCATCCGTTTATATGCATTAGAAGTCTTCTGGTAAAAAATAATATTGCAATTCGGGAACAGACTATAAAGATCGATTGCTAACATATTTGATTCTCTGCACATGTGCTAATCAATTCGACAAAATGTCAGTCACTGTCACTGCAAATTAATTTCTTAAGACGTTTTGGAGAGGCGTTCGTTGTGAGTAATCCAACAAGCCTTGATCGTGGAGATAATAAAATTTAATCCTGTGCTCTACGTCATCACTTTAGGTGGACACTACTAGGTGCGCGCGCTTACCTGTTTATCCGGCGCTGTGACGCTCTGGCGACATCCGTATTCACAAACTAGTAAGTGTTAAGTGATCAAGTTATATTATAGGATTGTTTTCCTTTACCTCATCTTGCAGGAGACGTCATATTGATAAACAACCCCCATTGTGCACTGGACATTGGTAAGTTGTCTTTCGCTGGGGGTGACCGTACCTACGGGATTTTCAAATTGACCTAGTTAGACATGTCTCGGAACGGATACCGATGAGTCACACACAAACGTCGGACATACCTGTGATCGGTCGCTTATGAAGATCAAGGATTGGGATGTGATATATTTCTGTTTGGTATTTGTGATTTGGCTCGGTTTATCAAACCAGTGGAATAGACGTTGATAACTGTGGTGTTATTTTTAGTGCACCGGGAGTACTTTTACTTCGCTCTCAGGCGCCGACACGCGCGACAAGTTGTCTAAAGTAAGTGCGTTCATTTACATCAGGTGTAAATTCCAATAGATCTCATAAACAGTGTTGTATCGTAGCCTCTGACTCTTCCCCATGTGGCTGTGTGGTATCGCTGAGTTTGCAGCTTTCGGTAGATGTAGGGGTTTGTTTGTCATGTTCACTGAAGCGCGGCCTATGTACCTGTGTGTGACGAGCAGGTAGCTCAGGTGTGTGGCTTCACCTCATCGGAGCATCTGTGTTTTAAGTTTGTACGGCCAATTTGCTGTTCTCCATTTTCATTCAAACAAAATATAAATTCTACTTTCATCAATTTAATGTGACCGGTGGCATGTAAGCTAATGTCTCAAGAATGAGGGATGAGTGAAATTATTCCCCCAGCCCGAGTTATTTTTAGATTCGTGTGGGTGTCAATGTCATAGTTGGGATCGAGAGAGTGTCAAGTCAGGATACCATTTCATAGCTTATATGGCCGACGTGTATGAAAGGATATTTGGAAGTACCATAACAGCTACTGGACATCTGGTTTTTTGTAGCAGAGTTGAAGGTACTGTGAAATGTGTATTTCTTGTCAGGTGTATCCTGTATAGTGTATTTACTCACAGGTAGCAAGGATATTATAAAACAGGTGTTTATGCCAGTTAGGGGGCCATAGGTCTAGAGTCCATGTGTGTTTCTTTCTCGTTTTAAACTAGTGTTAAAATATGTATTACTATTTATTTTGCATACGCTATAGCTAAGATGTTTGAAAAGAATATAGAAAAAATCTCTGGTCATAATTGATATCCCGCTGTTTCCAATTACAGCATATTGGGAATATTTTCCCTTTAGGTGTAAGATAACATTGTTCATGTTGTTTAAATATCTTTTCTCAGATGTGCTTCCCATGTTGATAGTAAGGATGTGTTATATACTTATAATACTACTGAGAATGTAGGAATAGGGGTGGGATGGAAGGTCTAGATAAAATTAGGGATCCAGAGATTATTTCATCCACAAATAAGTATTGATAGTTCTACCCCTTTGGGTCCAGTCTATTGGGGGCGGTGGTGTAGTCTAGTGGTTAAACAGTTCACTCGTCACACCGAATACCCAGGTTTGATTCCTGTCATGGGTGCAATGTGTGAAGCCCATTTCTGGTGCCCCCAGCGGTGATATTGCTGGAATATTGCAAACTCACTCCAGTCTATTGCATATTTTTACACTAACAAGTAGGCATTGTTTGAAAGTATTTCTGCTGCAAATGTGACTTCTAATATGTATCTTTGTTTGTGGTTTAACGCCGCACTCAGCAATATTCCAGCTACACCACGGCGGTCTGTAAATAATCGAGGTTGGCCAAGCCTATCCAGTGATTGGCATCATGTCATAAGCATAGTTCCACAAAATTGGGATACAATGACATGCATCCAACTCAGCGAGTCTAACCACCTGATCCCTTTAACCACCTCTTACAACAAGCATGGTAGCCTTTTACAGCAAGCATGGGTTGCTGAAGACCTATCCTACCCGGGATATTCACATAATTTGTATTTGCTCATGGGCTGCCCCAAGTGTGTAACTTATCACATAAACCCACAACAGCAATACATGTCTAGTTAATAATAAGTGAGATGTATGTGTGATGCATGTACATTGAATCAGTAAATAAATGGTGATTTATTTTGCCTATTTTATGTAAATACACTACTTATCTGGAGCTTTGCTTAAGGAACATGCTATAACCTACCCCATGTATCCCCTTAATTATAACACTGATACCTGGATCCTAGTGCACACCCAGTGTTGTACTGATAATACTGGCAGATCTTTCAAGCTAATGCTTTGTCTTCAATATTGTCTCAGAGTTGAATATGTTTGAACATGTCTCGTCTTCTGTTTGGTGAAACTGCAGGTTAAATTATGCAGCAGTTGAATAAGTACGGATGAAATAAATCAATTGATTTAAGGGATTTAGAACACTAGAATGTCAACACTGATGATGGTATATGAAGGCATGCATTGATGCTTGCTGACAAGGCATTGTTCTGTCATTTGCTAGCTGTTTCTATCTGGAGACAATTACTAAAAGCCTTTAAATTCTTACTGGTCTATTCTTAGCTTTTGTTAAATAATTAATTAGTGAAAATCAATCTTTCCTTATTAGTAGAAGAAATGGTGTAGATGAATTAGCCCAAGCATCACTGTGAGTGTGAGACTATCCCCCTCAGTCCTTGAACTTAACTGTCCAATGCATTGATGTTTTGGTTATATCGCCAATAACTAACTAGCCTGATCAAAAATCACGTTAAAAGTACTTGTCAAGTAAACCTGTTATTGTTTTAGTATGTGTTTCCATACAATTGTCAAGAGAACTAGGTATTCTGAACTTGCAGCATCAATGTAGTTTCATCTAGCCCTCACAATATGATTGAAATATTGCTGATGTGACTGGAAATTATAACTCGCTTGCTAATCCTTAAGGACGAAAATGATACTTTGATTTTTCCACTGTCGAATTGGTTAAGTAAATGACTAAATGAAATATATACTCTTCCTGTGTACCATTGGGGATATTAAGTCTCATCATACATTAAGCAGCTTATCTTGTCTCTAAGTGTCTGTGTCAGTGTGACACAGTTTCCTACTGCGGGGGCTAGATCATGATGCAATTGGCATTGTCTCTGTGTCAGGTCTGTTGAATGAAGCAGGGCCAAGTGTCAAGCTCATTGATAACCATCGTGGCCAAAGTCTGTCATTTGGCTGAATTAACTACACATGTCCAACCCCAGGCTAGGGTCAGTGTCAGTGGCTCGGGGTTGATAATTCCCAGACTTACAGTGTACATTCCTAGGAGTCCTCTTTACAATACAAATGCTGCTGGTGTGAGAGAGAATAAGTTGACACTGATTAATAGGCCTGTTATGGGCTAAGAACAGATTTAATTTAATGATATGACTTTTGGAGAACATATGCTTTTCAAATCTGTCAAGTATATCAAATTATTGCAGAAGAAATTAACTTGTTTGAGTGGGATACATAAAAAGCATTTTTATGTTTCAGGCGTTGTATCATGTGATGTATTTTGTCAGGCGTTTTTATGCATACAAATATGATATGGACATATGTATCTGGTATGGTGACTTTCCATGATTGAAATGAGAACAGGATTTGGAATAGATACATTAAATGATGACATCAGTTTATGAAAGTGTAAAAATATATATGTGGGGTAATCATTCCTCATGAAAAGATGCTTCTGTTTTGTCACATGAAGCCTCGAGCTGAAAGGATCAGAAGTAATGATCAAAGTATTCAAGTGCATTAATAGGATGCCCGGATCCTTGAGATTGACAAGAGTAGAAGGCATCTTGTTAGTAACATTATTATGAAGTACTAAGGATAGGGGCGGATGCTATGGATAACCAAAGTGTCGGGGGATGCATGGAGTCATCTGACCGTTGGCGTGATAATGGAATCTGATCCCACTAAAACACCCCGAGGACGCTTGACCATGATGCTTCAGTCTGTACTCTTTAGAATAATGAGACAGATGCCAAAATGAAGAGGGGTAATGAAATGATCCATTAGTTAACTGTGCTACATTTGATTGTGTCGCCAGTAGCACTAATGTATTGATGGTTAAAGTGTGAATGAAGATGAAATGTCAGATATGATATTAAATATTATTTCAGTTTTTCTTACTAGTTCTGTAATATTTGTGAAAAACATTTCATCATATTCATTAATCGTTCTTTAATATCATGTAAATTTGTTTCATTCTTAAATAGACTGTAAACATGCTAAATGTTATCATGGTTATGCTTTCTAATAATTTAAGTCAGATAGTAAGGTACATACACATTGCATGTCAATGGGTTCTTATTGAGAGTCTCCACTTCACTTTGTCTTTACTTGTCCTAATCCTATTTATCATAACATTAGAAGCTCCATGTACCATTACCCAAAGTTATAACAATATTGTATGGTAACAGGAATTTAACAATAGATGTCTGTTCATGATTTCAAAGAAATAGTGGTAGGTTTGTTCACTGAGTTTAAATACATTAGTCTTATAGGCACATGGCTGTAGTGTTAGTAACATGGGTGGTCTTCTTACTTTATAATTTGTATTGTTTCTGCTTAATCTTAAAGTTTTGATGTCTACACTTATTAGGGACGGCTTTAAATGTATCCCAATATTTTGGAAAAGTGTATGACATTAAACAAATGATAAAAATCGCTATTTGAAATCACCCAATATACTTAGCATGGAAAAATGATATTGTGATACATAGTGTGGAAAGCAGTTTGAACCTCAATTCACTGATTAACCAGTAATACCACACAACCTTGACACCAATGTAATTTTGTAAGAGGGAGCAGTATTTATTTATATAAGCCAGTAATGCGACTATGCCTTTCAAGTTTAGCTGACTAAAATATGTTTAAACAAAACATTGTTCAAAATGAAGGTGGTCCTTTAGTTTGCCCCTACAGTATTTGAATCTAGGACCCCCTAACTCTGTAACTTTTAACATCTGACCTTCCTTCTTCATTTCAGACACTGATAGATCTCAACTCTCCGATGTATTATCATTCAAATCATGCAAATTGTTGAAAATGTTACAGATTTAATTCATGATGGGGCATAATTACTTAACTATTCCCGGAGTGGGAGGAAGCTCTTGAGAGGCTGGGAACAAGGTCTCCATTAAAGTTGATTGGTTATGGTTGCATTGTTCTCCTCCAAATCATTGTGAGCTAGTCAGTCTCTGGAGGGAAAATGAGCAAAGGAATGATGAATAAAATATTGTCATGTTTAGCCATTTCTGCATATTGGTCGTCTGTTGGTAAAATCAAGAGATGCGATAGCTTGGGGGTTATGCAGGGGCATAAGTTCACGTTGGTCATCTTGCCATGCTGCTGAATCTGAGCTTAGTGAAGCTAGGTGTCCTTTGGGAATCAGAGAAGAAATTAAGGGTGAGAATATTGCAGATTTTATTGCAGATAAGAGATTTGTCATCAAACATGTT